CATTCCATGGATGCTAAGGACAGCCGGGAAGATTCCAGCCACGGCTAAACCATGGAGGAAGGGGAGGGGAGTAGGGGAGGCAGGAGGAAGGGCTCCAGGTCCCCCTCCTCTCCCTTCCTCAAGGGCACATGCCCGGAACCTGTTCCAGAAACAAGGATTAAAGCTGATCTCGACACCCTTCCCGGATCCTCCTTTCCAAAAGCATTTAGCAATGAAAGAAAGAGGAACCACGGATGTTCCTAGAAGGATCCATGTCTCCACAGATTGGCTCAAGCTACCGTCTTCGAGAGCAACTGTCGGGTACAGGAGGAAGTCAGGTGCCCCTGCGAGAAGGCGGAACCACCACGGCACCATTCAGGTGGCATTACCAGCTCCACCAGCAGCACCAGGACCTCCTCATGCGTGGCAGGAATGTATCAACTCCAAGTGTCAGAAAAACATCCCATTAGCTTCTGGCGTAACTAGATAAAGCCATGCTCTCCCTCTCCCCACCACGGGGGAGGCATTTGCCTCGATGCTCTAGAAAGCTCTGTGTGCATTAATATTGCTGATGCGGGCAGCCTCTGCTTCTGCTTGGCCCCCCGAGGATGCCATGTGATGGATTCCAGTTTAACAGCTTTTAAAAACAAGCAGACAAGAGACGGGGCGTGATGGATGGCACAGGAAGCGCGCCCATTCGGGGATGATTTATGGGAAGTTGCATGTTGCAGCTCCGGGGTCCGTCCCCAAGGGGGGGGGGGGCGGCCGGGGTAGACAGACGGGTTCTCGTGCTGAAGGGGAGCAACGCCCGACGTGCACCAGCTGCACAGTTATGACACGTTCACCCTCTGCCCCAACACGAGCACAGCAGCCCCTGCTCTCGGGCACACGCCGCCCCCTCGTGTGGCCGTGTTTAAAGGAGTTGAAGTGGTACCTCTGGCCGGGCCAAAGCCTTTCTTCTTGAGCAGGAAGCGTGAGCTCTGGCTGGACCGTCTCCTCCCCTGCAGGTTTCAGGGGCAGCCTCTGAGGGGCCAGAGGTCAGGGCAGAGGGCCTTGTTGTGTCGTCTCGGCTTCCAGAACAAGGCCCCCTCCCCCCCCCCCCACCCCATCCAAAAGCATCTGGAGGAGGAGGAGCCTGACACACAGACGGAGGCTGGGTGGTTGTGGCTCCGAAGGATTCAGAGAACGGCAAGGGGGAGGGGAGAGGGCCGGACACAACAGCCAAGATGCCCACCGTGAGTTTCTCCAGGTCACTGGTAAGCGGGCTCCCTCCCCGGTGACCTGAAGCACCGATCTGCCCCAGGCCTCCACCACTGCACGCAAGAAACGAATCTCATTTTGTAGCAGGTTAATTTCCACCCATGTTTTCAATAGGGACTCAGCATTTACTACACAGTAAAACCCAAACTGAATCCACATCGGAAGGATGAGCCTTAAAATGGGATCTAATCCATGGGACGCTTTCCAAGGCAGAAGAGGTGTCCCCTCCCCGCCAGCAAGGACGCCCCTGCAGTGATGGGGAGCTGCGTGCACTAAATGGCTCCGCAGCCCCAGGGGACGGACCAGCCCCACGCGCTGCAGCACGGGCTCCTTCGGGTTCACGCCTGCACTGACCTTGCCCATGACTGACCCCGGCGACCACCGTGGAAGGCGTGCGGGAGCGCCTCACGCCCTCTCCCCCTCACTGGCTTCCCCCAAACCTCCATCCCCCAGCTGGCTCTCCTCCTGCCAGTGGAGGCCAGGGCACGCTCCACCGGGCGTCATGAAATCATGGACGGGGGGCCTCTGAGAGGGGGAGGGATTGGGATGCCTGCTGCCTCTCCCGATTTTCCTTCCAGACATCAGAGCTCGACGCACTGGGGGCCCAGGGGTGGGCCTGGCTCCCTCCGGAGGGCCTGTCTGGGTCCCCTCGAGAACAGCGGCTGGCACACCAGACCGCCGCTCCGTGGGCCTGGCCCCTCCCTTCGGAGGCCCACCCGTCGCCTGAAGTGGCCTAAAAGGCAGAACACAGCCCAGCTTCCTCTGCAGGCTTCAAACTGCTCGGCACAACAGGGACACGCGAGTCTCCCCTGGTGCTTTCTTTCCCCTTGACCCACCCCCCGCCTCCCCCCCGGGAAGGAAGGAGACTCCAAAGCACATCGCCCATTTCACGATGTCAGAGTGTCCTTGGCATCAACGAGGAAAGATGCAGCTCCAGGCCCAAAGGGGCTTGCACGGGCCCCACTGAGCCCCGAGTTTCCCAGACCTGCCAGCCGGGACCGGCCAGTCTCGTGCTTTTGGCTTTGACACCCCCAAGAATTTACCTTTTCACCCAAAGCTGGGCCCTGCAATCACCTTCAAGGAAGAGCATCTTCTCGGGGGTCACCTGCCCACAGGAGGTCTGCACTCTACTGCTCTTTCCCCGGGGCAGTGCCACGGGCACTTGCTTAGACCCAGGATCCTGAGATTTAGGGGACGGTGCATGACCCCAGGGTGGCTTGGCCCGCACTGAGATCAGCCCCAAGCTGTGCGTCCACTATGGGTGGTTTTATGGCAGCACTGAGGGGACCCCAGTCCCGAAGGATTCCGAAGGTCCACGGGATCGAGACTTTTGGAACGGTCGCATGGCCTGGCTCCCCTGCCCAGCACAGCTGCAGTATATGACTTCCCTTCGCAGGCTTTCTAAGGGGTCCCCGAAGGTCCAGCAGTGATGTGACAGAATCATTTCCATGCAGAAAGGTGGTTGTTGAAAATTCTCATCTCAAACACATCCCCAGACCCACCCTTCACATCCCGGGTCCGTGGCATAGCCCCCCCCCCCCCCCGCCTCCCTGGGACAAGCAGGAACCTCCTTATGGTGGCCTTGCTTCTGCCCTGACCTCCTTCCCCATCCACTCCCCACACAGAAGGCAATGTCATCTGCACACAACTCGAGTCTGCTGATTCAACCCCTTGCTCAGAGGCCTTCAGTGGCTCCTACCATCTTTTATTTTCAAATTTCTTAATGTTTACTCATTTTTGAAACAGAGAGAGAGAGATACAGACAGAGCATGAGCAGGGGAGGAGCAGAGAGAGAGGGAGACACAGAATCAGAAGCAGGCTCTAGGCCCTGAGCTGTCAGCACAGAGCCCGACGCGGGGCTCCCACTCACGAACTGCAAGATCATGACCTGAGCCGAAGTCGGACAGCGGTTCCTACCATCTTTAAGACAAAACCCCAAGTCCTCACCCCTGGCCTAAAAGTTTCTGCAGGTAGGCCCTACACCGTCTGCCCTATCTCCTCCCATCCCGCTCCCCCCTGGACCCTGGCAGACCAACCTTCTTGCTACTTCTCCAACATGCCTCAGGGCCTTTGCACCTGCCAGGCCCTCTGTCTGAACTGCTCTTCCCAGGGCTCGGCTGGTTCCCTCCCTCACCCCCATCAGCCTCCAGGGCCTGCCCGGACTGCCCTGTGAGAACAGCAGCCTCTACCAACCTCGATTGCCTCTGACCACCTTTCTTCACAGCCTTATCGCTACCTGACGTGAGATGTGCAACTCGTCCCCAGTGGAGGATACACGGCAAGGACTTGGCTTTGTCGCCACCAAGCTGCAGCCTCCACAACAGAGTCAGCGAGTATGGTTCAATGACAGCACACGGACCAGTGGGTACACGATCAACCCTAGGCAAAAAGAGGGCCCCCAGACACCCCGAGGCAGAGAGGAGAGCCCATTTGGATCGTGGGAAGAAAGGCAGCAGTGCGGACCTGGCAAGGCTCCTGTACCTTATGCAGAAGCTGATGGCGTGCACGCGAAAGGGGTACTGGAGACACCAGCCTGTGTCCTCGGCTCTTTGCCCAGAATTCCTATGGGCATCGTTTGCTCCGCCCAGAAAAGGGTCAGCACAGAGGCGGACTGCCATGCAGGGCCCCAGTCCCTCCTGCCCGGCCTTGGATGAGCCCCACCCTCCAGTTGTGTGCAGTTTCTTAGTGGGGACCGGGCTGCACTGACCTTCGTGGTGATGTAATAACGTGCCCGGTTTTTGTCCCCGGTTCCTGGGAGGTAACCTCTAAAACCTTTGGAACTCCCGAGGGATGGGAATGTCCTCTGTCATGCCCACACCCGACTTCACGCTGACTGGGTGACTCTTGAGTCCTTAGGCAGAGGGACCCTGATTGGACAGCTGAAGCTTTTACTTCCCCACTCAGGGCAGAGAAGGACAGGGGACAGAGTCCAGTCTTGGGGCCAATGACATAACAGGACTCCGGTAAAACTCTGGACACTCCCAGCTCAGGCAGCTTTGTGAGGGGAGAGCACGTGGATGTGCGGGGAGGGTGAGCTGTCCTGACCCTGCAGGGTGAGGGCAGACTTGGTCCCATCTACGTGTGTCCCTTATTATGGAAACGCAACCGTGAGTGTGGCTCTTAGGTTCTGAGAGTCAGTCTAGCAGATTATCAACACGGAGGGTCACGGGAATTTGTAGCCGGTCCATCAGAAGTGCAAGTGGCCCCCAAGACTTGTGGCTGGCGTCTGAGGTGGGACAGGCCCGGAGCCTGCGGGGCGGTCTTTCGCTAACCCGCTAACCCGCTAACCCTGGGGTCGTGGGGTGAGCTCCTGGTACAGCTGAAGTGCCATGGAGCAATCGTCCGGTCCCCTCGGGAGCCAGGTGGGGACACCAGAGCCACTGGCCGGGCTGCAGGGAAATCTGGGCAGGGGAAGGTCAGACCCGACCTTGGCCTCCACGGCAGTCTGCGCTGAACCCAGACAGTGGATGCTGCGCCCCGCCCACCTTCCTTCCTAGGATGATAACTCTGCCGCCAGGCTGACACGTTTCAGGTCACAGACAGCAGGCACTCCTTACCAACCCAAGCCAGCACATTCCTGGGCATCTGCCCCAACGCTCCCCATCCCGACCCTGAGGCCATCCCGACCCTGAGGCCACGAAAGACGAGCAAGCAGAAAAGTCCCCAGCCTGCAATCCCCTCGGGTCAGTAAGATGTTTCTCAATCACAAATGCAACCTCCTCCCTGAAGGATCGGTGTGGTGGCCGGCGGCGGCGCCTTACCTGGTAGTGGTGGGTGAGGTCTGTTTGGCTGCAGCAGGGAGGTGACCCCCTCCCTGTGGGATTCTTTCTGGAACGTTCTGGGGTGGAAGGCTGCTGGGAAATACGGGCGGGCGGCGTATCGGCAGGAAAAGTTTCAGGTTCTCAGAGACAGATTCTCAACCTGAAGGAAAAGAAAAGGAAAAGATTGAAATGCCTTTGAAGCAAACATCTTCTTTTTGACATCAAAGGAGCACGGGTGTTAGCAAACGAGAGAAGAGGGGGTGCCACGCGGCAACTGAGGCAACGGGTGGCTGCCTGAGGTCACACCCCAGGGGAACGTGAGGGGAACCTGTCTGAAGACAAAGTGTTGGGACCCTATCGCCAAAGGGCAGCCCTGCTGCTCCATCAGCCCTCCCGCGGCAATGCCCCCTAAATGATATCTGGCCCCCCTCCCCGCCTCGCCCCCCAATGCTGACCCCACCCCGGCCGGTCTGGCCCATCCCATCACTTCCTGCCTCACCCACTGCAAAGTCCAGGGCCCATCACTGCCATCATTCCTGAAACTCCCTTGTCCCTCTCTTTTTGAAAGGTGGTGCCACTCTCCAACCGTGTCCTTTGTCATTGGGAGGAAACACCCAGAGCTGCTACAGTGACCTACAAGCCAGGCGACGCCAGGTTTGGGGACCCTGACGCTTACATGATTTGGCGGCGGGGGATGGGTGGCGGGAGCGGGGGAGGGCTGTCTCAGATGACAAAGCCAAAAATAACGCCGCAGGGTCTCGCTGGGGCCATGGGTGCACAGCTTCCAGGTGAATCCTGCTCTGCCCACGGGACCCTCGCAGCGCCTGCACCTCCCGCAGTCCCAGGCCTCCTGGCTGCCCCGCGCACAAGAGCGCCTCCCCCTGCACCACGCCTGTGCACCTACATAACTGTGTAACTGCGTGGATCGCCCCTCCCGGCCTGGGGATGTGTGGTAAGGTGGCCAGCCCCAAGCAGCACACCCCATCAAAACTGACGGCCATCCCCTTGGCATTCCCTCCTCCTTCGCCCCCTGATTTTCCCCCAGGACTTCACAGCTGCCACCCCACAGATGCACCACCCTGAAATGCAAGCACCCCGAGGGCGAGCACTTGGGACCCCAGTGCCTGGGATGTGCCTGGCACCCGGTCGGAGCTCACTCAGTATGTGTCACGGGGATGGATGAATGGATGAATGAATGAATGAACGAACGAACGAACGAACGAACCCCCACCCCTTATTCTCCTCCACGCACACGTTCAGGCTTCTGTACAAGAGTGACCACTGTCTCCCTGGAGCCCGAATTCCCAGGAAACACGAGGGGGCTGGTGGCTGCTGTTTCGGATGGGGGGGCACCTGGGCCTCGAAAGTCCTTTCTTGGCTTAATTCACTCCAACCCTGTGTGCGTGCCATCAGCAGGCAAGACAGAAACACCGCTGGGGACATCCTCTGCTGGCCAGCCCCGAGGGACCGGCTCTGGGGCAGAGTCCTGAGTCAGGCTGGCCAGGAGGGGCTCCCCCCAGCCCGCCTCAGTGGAGAGACTCCCACTGGCATGTCCCCAGAAACCCCACAACGGAGCTTTAAAAAAAGGAAAGACTACCAGTTTGTTTCTTTTCCTAAAATCCAGCCACTTAAAAGGAGAACCACCCACATCCCCAACGGCAGGGCCAAGCTCCCAGAGTGATGCCCAGGCACCACGTGGCTTTGCAGTGACCGCCCATGCCACGCACGGCACCGGGAGCTGGGCATCGGAGGGAACGGAAAACAGCCCTGAGCTCTGTGAGGCCACTTTTCAGTGGGAAAAGCAAGTGTGTGATCTGTTGTTCTAGGTCAGTGCTAAATGCAGTGACAGAGACGGCTGGGGGCAGGGCCCAGGTAAGAGAGGAGCCAGGTGGACGCAGAGGGCCCCAGGTACAGGAGGCTCCAGGTGGTGACCCAAGCTGGTGGGGCGGAGAAGGCAGGTAGGCAGGCTTGTCTTAGAACCAAATGCTTGATTCTCAGCAGCGGGCACAAAAGGCAAAGGCTGGAGTTCATTCTGCACCAGACCCACTGGAACAGGAGCAAGGTGGAGATGTGGGCAGTGCCCCTGGCAGGTAAACCCAAGACGGAAAGGTGGAAAGGTGGAAAGGTGACAAGGGACAGGGAGCAAAGACGGGAAGGGGAGAGGGGCAGTACAGCAGTCCAGAGAGACCCCAAACCCCTCTGGCCCCACACTGGTTGCTACGTACACTTCCTGAAATCCGGGCCACCTTCTCCAGGGTGATGCCTCACCCCCCCATCCCCCACGCGCATGCTGAGCTGTGCACCCCGTACCCCGACTCTGCACACCCACCTCGGGAGCCCCGCGGGCCCAGAGAGGAGAGGTTACTTCATGTTGCTGGGCTGTGTGCTTGCTAAGACGGGGGAGCATGGGCTGTGGGCTCACGGAGACTGGACAGGGGTAGGGACGAAGAGCCCAGTGAGCAGCCCTACCTCGGCCAGGCCTTGGCCTCACCATTGGTACAGTTGCCCTTTGTTTCCTTTTTCTTTTTTTTTTTTTTTAATGTTTATTTTTGAGAGAGAGAGTGCGTGAGCAGGGGAGGGGCAGAGAGAGAGGGAGACACAGAATCCAAAGCAGGCTCCAGGCTGAGGCGTCAGCACAGAACCCGATACAGGGCTCGAACCCACCAACCGCGAGATCATGACCTGAGCCGAAGCCGGACGCTCAACCAGCTGAGCCACCCAGGCACCCCACTTTGCTTTCTTAAATGGGCCACCGTTTAACAGCTTGTCCCTGATGGCCACTGCATGTTCTCCCCACTCCGCAGAACGAGACACCCTCCACTGCCCACGGTGCAGACGCTGGGGCCCCGGCCCCCGGATTTTCAGGGACACAGGACCCACCCCAGCGCGGTGCCCCAGCTCCCCAGCTGCCAGGGAGAGGGACTGGCCCCACCTCCTTCTTCACAGGACAGATGAAGGTAAGAGACAAAAGGCCAGGCAAGTAAGTTGCCATGAGGTCCCCCAAGGCCCCAAGGCTGGCTCTGGGAAAAAGGGAGAAGGAAGGGGGATGAGAAGGCCCGTGGGGCTCACAGCGCATGACGGCTCTGGCCTGTCCAGCTGAAGCCCAGGGTCAAGGCCACAGCCTGTTGTCCCAAACCCAGCAGGGGAGAGAGCTGCGTCTTCCCCCTCCTCGGAACCACATTCACTGTGCCCCACCGCGTGCCAAACACGGTGCCAGGTACCCGCGGCTCTAACCTCTGCCAGAGTGTAGCCTGGGGGCCAGAGGCAGGCAGGGAGCCTCCAACTGCTGACCATCAACGTCAATGTCCTTGTGCCTCGTGCTGTAGGGGGTGGGGGACTCTGAGGCCCCCGACAGCCCAGAACCCTAGGGTCAGAACACTTCCCCATCCTCTCGACCGACTTCTTCAGGATTCAATCCCCTTGCTTTAGCTGGGGAAGCCCTCAAAATTACTTTGGGGGTGGACAGAGGCTTAAGTTTCCCCGGAAGGCTGGACACGGTGGTGGGGGCCCCAGAAGGATATGACACCAGAGAAGGGCCTGGAGCTGGAAAATACCAGGCGTGGTCCTACCAAGGGCAAGGGCAAGGGCAAGGGCAGGGAGCTGGCTGGGAAGGCGCAGTCTCAGGGAAGGTCTGTCCAAACCATTCCCACCCCTCCCCCCATCTCTGCCGCCAATTAAAGTCTCCTGGGCGTCCTGCCAGGCCCCCAGCTCTGCTCCCAAGGGGGCAGGAGGCTGGGGCTGCCTTTGGTGCCCTGGCCCCAAATGGCCTCCTATTGGGATTCTTGCCGTTAGGGAGAGAAGATGGAAAAATAAACACTGGCACTTTTGAAAAGTATCTTCTGCAAAAATAAGCCAACACGCAAATAGGCAATGGCCCCCGCAGGGGTTCCTGCTGGAAGAGACTGTGGATGATAAGGTCCTCTGGCCACCCTGCAGACGCCAGTCCTATGAGTACTGGGCAGTCGGCCCTTCCATTCCTCTCTGAGGGCCCTGTCCTCTGCACACTGCAGGGCTGGACTGTGTCGGTCCAGAAGGGATGGGGAGGCAAGGGGGGGAGGGACCGAAGGGAGAGGGAGAACCTGGCCAAATCATCATCACCACCATCATCCTCACTCACCAACATCATCACCATCATCACCATCATGGTCCAGACTCAACGTGGTCCCATGAGGACAGACGTTGGTTGGTCCTTCTCACCACCGTGCCTACCCGGCACGGTGCTGACACTGAGCAGGTGCTTGTGAAACGAACAACGAAAGGAAGGAGGAGCCACATCTACGTGAACCGCGTGCAACGGGCGAACCTTTTCTGTAAAATTCCCAAACCGACAAGCGGAAGTAACCATCATCCCTTCGGGTGAGTCAGCAGGATGGTCTCTGATACCCAGAGGTGGGGGTGAGTGGCAGTGCCTTCTCTCTCTGCGTGTGAACAGCTGAGCCCACGAGAGGCCCCTCACACTTACCGCTTCCCACGCGGAGAGGGGCCCAGCAGGAAAGCATCCGTTCTGGCTTGTTTCCCCCATCTCCAAAGAGAGAGACTCACCTGCACTTGGGGACCTACAGGCAGGCTGGGGACAGCAACAGTCCTTTCCAATCAGGATCATCTGGGGAAGTGGCTTTACGTACGGGATTCAAGATGAGGAACACAGGCGTGTCACTGCCCCTCATTTGACGTCCCCTCCCTGGGCCTGCTGCTGGCACACGGGCCACGTCTGGGCAGACGAGGCCCTGCAAGTTCAGGACGTGAACTCAGGGCCATTTCCCACCTGCTTGGGGACAAGGCACAGACCACCCGGCTCTCGGACACAGCCCGCAACTTCCCCGGGAGGCTCTGGGGCCCTGGGGCGGGCAGCAGGTTCTCCTCCAGCCCCACCACGTACAAGCTGTGTGACGGGGGACCAGCTGAACGCCCCCGATCCTTTCCTCCGCGGACTCGTGTGAACGGCCTCCTACGTCCGAGCCTGCACGCGCTGTTTTATCTGCCGTAACAAAGATACCAATCGCCCCAGACACGCACCTACATTCTTGTTCCCCGTCCCAGAGACTCAGGAAAGGGCAGCTGCAAATCCCAGGGGACTCAGCTTGCCCGCCTCAGAACGGGGCCTTTCTCCCCAAAACCACACCTTTGCTGGCTCATTTCATTGCCGGGAAGAACCTTTTT